GGAAGACCTGGTAGTAGCGTGAATTTGAACTGGTATAGTGTTTTTTCCTGCATCTTTCCAGTGAACATCTTGGCCTTGGACACTGAGCTCCTCTACAGGTTAGGTGGGCATTTGTGTCTGCTCTGGAGTTTTATGATCCCTGAAATGGCATTATGGACTCTAGAAAGGCAGTGAGCAGTTCCTTGGGACTCTGTATCTAAGAGTGCTTCTGGTAGCAGTCACCTACTGGAACTGTTTACTCTTGATTTACTCTTGAGAGGGGGAATTTAATGATCATGCATACTTTTATTTATCAGAATAACAGTGTCAGTGTTACCACTGGTCTGTGTTGTGGCACCATGGCCAAGGGAGCATATGTTTGCAGAAACTGCAGCTGATGGTCTGGCACATAGCTAAGCATCCCTGTCAAATGGATAGTGGTACCTAATACCATTATCTCAGCAGACACCATAGCAGGGTAGTTATCTTAGACTACACTTTTACTTCTGTCTAAGACTGTACATAGAAAACTTCCCATGGAGCAGGGTCATTTTTAGGTGACTCCCTCATGGAGTGCACCTTTCAAGTCTTAAGTTGGCCGATACCCTGCTGAAAAATGTTGTTTACTTTTAAAGTGTCATTTGAACCTCTCCTCTGCCAACACCTTCAGTCAGTTTTCTATCCCTGTTTCTTGGCTGCATTTGCACTAGGGGAGCAATCTTTCCCAGCAGTGAGGATGTAAACAGGCTCTGCTGCCTTGGGAGTGGTGTTAGCCAGCCAGTGTGGCCAATCTACCAGAAGAGAGACTGTTCTCAGACACTGGTGACAGCAAGCTTCTGATGTGCACGGTACCTGTGTCTACCAGAGATGCAAAGGGAGGCCACGCTAGCTGAGTCAGAATGTCAGGATGAGCAGTTTTGTTCAGTACATTACAATAAGGTTTGATGAACTGAAATTGAAGTGTAATTGGAGATTCAGTACTTCACTGAAGATTACCCAGAATGGATAATAATGGATACTTCCTGTCTCTGTTTTTCTTACTCTCTTCTCTGTAGATAAGGTATTTGGTCAAATGTGTGTGTGTGCTTTCCAGGATGTGCAACTATATTCCTGGATAAGACCAACTGAGGGAGGAAGGAAAACAGCAGATTCTGGGCACAGGAAGAAGGCTGTAGCTGTAGGCTAAGGAACAATGTAAGACACATGTGCCAACTGGATCACATCTGACTGTGACGCAGGGGGATGGCAGCCAAAACTACTTTATCCTTGCCCTCACAAAAGATTAAGTTTGTGAATGGGAGTAGGCTGAAAGTGGCATGGATAAGTACAAAATGACTGTCTTAGAACACTTTGGCGAGCTATCCACTAGCTGCCTCTGTACCTGAAAATAATTTCCCTGCATACTGGAAAAATCTTACTCCAGTAAAGGGAAACAGTGCAAAGCTATTAGCCTGAACATGTTAACATTAACATGACTTTGAGTCAGCAAAGGATGCCCATGAAGCAAGCCTTTCCAAGGAAGACAGCAACAAGATTTTGTGATGGGTCAGTGGATTCCTTTGCATACTCATCATTGCTCTTCATGTTCACAGCACAGTTGTTGATCTCAAGAGGCAGCATGTAAAAATGTGTCTGGAACTGAGACAGCCATGACAAAGGCTGGAAAAAGACTTCACCAGCAGGTAGCGGTCTCTGGAGTATAGAAGCCTCAAGCCTGGGGCATATAAGAGCATTGGTGCCACAATGCCAGTAAACATGCTTTAGTGTAGCTGCTTCTTATAACTGAAGATGAGAAAGACTTTTTCTGGCAAGTCTTCCAGAAAAACACCCGGTGAGGAACATTTGAAAGCCAACCACAGACAGGACAGTGATCACTGCTCCACAGCAGAAATACCCAACAGCAGTCCCAGTCTGGCAAGTACTCAAATGAATGGCAAGGACCTAGCCTTCTGCATGTTCATAAATTAAGACAGTGATGTCTAGAAACCAAGACTTAAGGGCAGAGAGATCACAAGAGAAGCAGTCAAAAAAAAAAAACAATGTAGAAGGCTATAAATGTGTGTGAGCTTGCTACGAGGAGCCCTATTGCAAATACACAGTGTTGCACCAACAGGTCCTAGATCAGGTGTTCAAAGCTGTTTTGAGCAACTTTGACAATGTCAAGTGGATTTATCCTGAGTCAAGGTAAATCTGCCTGTAAGAGTTTTGATTTAATCTTCCGTGTCCTAAAATTACATTTATAGCACTCCTTGTAACAGCCTAGCAGTTGAGCCAGACTTCCTTATTAAGAACATTTGTAAATACCAGCTTATGAAGGTCCTGCTGTGCCTCACGTGCAGCAATCAGCATTGCTTCCAGATACCATATGGCATGCAAGCATGCAACCCAAATACTAGTGGTCTTGTATAGGTTATAAAAAACCCCATGAGTTTCACATCAGAAAGGTAGCATAGGTAAGGATGAGATCAAGATCTGAGCAAGCAGAAATCCTGTTAGTCAAGTAATCATCTTATTGGTAGAAGCAACACTGTTTAATCCATTTGCAAGCAAGAAAAAATTCTCTTAAAGTGACAATCAGTCGAAGGATGTAAGAAGTGCCTCTGCACCTACACACGTAAGACAGGATCTCACATACCATCACTTCAGTCATGGCTATCAATGGCATTCTGGTTTAAATGTTTTGCTTAATTGATACAGGAAGAAAAATGTAGGTGTGCTGGGACCTTATGTGTAGATACATGAGATAGAAAGCCTATTTACCTGTATATTTTCATGCAGTACTGCATAAACCTTAGACTGGACTTGGAAAACACTTGTTGATTTGCTATTACCTAAATGGTTATTAAGTTTTTACAAGACAGTAGAGTTAATCATTCTTATGCTCCCTGACTGCAAGTGTGCATGTAAGCAAATATTTCAGTAGAACACAGGGTACAACTGGAAATAGTTAATGGATCTGAGGGAGCAGAGCTACCTTTTGCAACAAAATATTTGAACTTTGGAATAGGACTGTAAGGATTTTTTTTTTATTTGTTTGTTTTTATAGCCTCTGTCTCAGCCAGAAACCCACCCCCCTTAGTTCCGAATGTCCATTGCTGAGTTCAAGACTAACCTCTAAAACACTCTTGTGGATACTAAAGTAAATATCTTTATGCTACTTTCTTCTTTCAGAGTTGCGCCATTTGATCTGGCAGGAATTGTAAACCCATCAGTGGCTGCAGACATGGCAATTCTGTCATGGTGGTAGGACACAGAGAAAAGCTAACTTCAGGTCTTTGGTGAAAGAGTGTGACCATGCTGGAGCCAAGATTGTGTGCTTGGCTGCATCACAGATGGAGCTGGTACAGCGGATATATCTTACGCTTACATTTGCTTTGTCTGTCATGTTTTCATCTTCTAGGTCACAGTCAGAGATGTTGATGGCACTCCATCCTCTTTAGGTTGCACAGTTCCCATCTTTATTCACTAGGCAATTCTGTCAGCCTTTCTTAATTCTCTGAGAACTTCAGACTTGCTTTTACAATTCACTGAAACCTTTTGTTGGCAAGAAAGCACAGAGGAAAAACCTCAATCTAAGAGGCTCAGAAGTGCATGGGAGAGGACAGAAAGAAGTTGTGAATCACAGCAAAGCCCAGTATTAATTGAAGAGATCTGCTAACTGCCCCATTCTCACTTGTTATCCCATGTGCCCAGCATGCCTTGCTAGCACTGATCAGTTACAGGAACTGTGATTGTCTCCTACCCTTCCATCAGATCTAGGACATTGCATTTGCTTTCCACCCAAGCAGAAGCAAGGTGCCTAGGAAGAAGTAGGCAAAACAGCAAAGCAGATCTCAGGCTACTCTGTAACAGAGAAATTAGGTGTATACTCTAGCAAGGCTGGCAAGACCCTAATCATCTCTCCCATACGATCAGGGCTGGACCGACCCCAAGGGTGCTTACAAACCCTTTTGCTCAAGGCATACTGAGGTCAGAATTTGGGTGTCAGGCCAAAGCTGTGGCTTTGGCCAAAGCGCAGTAAGTCACACTACCAGAATATTGCCAACAGAAGTTCATGTTTAATTCCTGCTACGCACTTCATACTGGCAAAAATTCTCTGGCCTGGGAGATTTCTGTTAAACCAGGCCACAAGTTCAGAGGTTGTGGGAAATCATAAACCAGCCCACATAGTACATGATGTTTGTTTTCACTGGATAGAAGCAAGAGAATCATTTCAGGAATTTAAAGCATATCTTCAAATGTATCACAGATAAATTGCAAATGACAGTTTTCATCCCCTGTGTAAAAGAACTTCAGTGTTCCTATGTGGGTGCCTGCCCAAATTTTACTACCATTGCTCCTGCAAGATTCACTGACACAAAGGGATGCATCATTGGGCTACTCCTAAGTCTTTGAACACATGTATTCAAAGCTAGATAACGGGATGGCAGCCTGAGCTCCTGGGAGTACAGTGTTAGCAAATGATAATGGTGAAGTAAAAGTTACAGACATTGTGTGCATAAAATCAGCATTCTTTGAAAGATACAAATCCATACAGCTAGACCTAAATGCATAAGGAGCATTCCTAAAAAAGCTGTATCATGTATTGCAAATTAAGAAAACATTAAGAAAGACTGCATGTGAGATAATGTGGAAACCAGCTGGCCTAACAATAGGCAATCAAATGGAAATTGAAAAACAGCTTAGCCAAATTAAATCTGGATAAATTTCACTTCCGCAAAGAGTTAAAAACCTTAATATCATATTAATTTCATGTTAAAACCTCAAAATCCAGCAAGGAAGTGCATTATATTGCTTCTGTTGCTGCTGCTGGAATAGGTAAAGGGCATGGATTATGCAAGAAACATGACTTGCTTGTGATCACTTAAGAGGAAGAAAGTTTGTATGCAATTCCAAGAACTTCAGTTACCTGTAAATTTTGAGAGCCAAAAGGCAGCAGCCATCTGACCCCTCATCTGCAACCAAGTGCCACCTTTGCTGTAATATTTACATTTTTACTTTTTGTTACTGGTATTCTTTAGAGTGATGAATGGAAAACTTCACTACAATTTTACTGCTTTGGATAACCTTATGGATCGCCTGTGGGAATATAAGCTAATTCCAGGTAAGGACAGCTCCATACATACACAGCTTGTCACATCTGTTTGCCCATATTGTGCAATCATCAGAAGATTAGTGGAGAGGTTTGCCAAAGCTTATTTTGATAAAAATTCATTCTTTTCCTACTTGCCTTTATCTCATGGCTGTGTAAATGTAAACAGTGTGAGCAAAATACTGTTACAGGAATTAAGACAGCACAAATGGTTTTACATGGCTTTCCACAACAGTTTGAGATGTATGAATTGAGAAGTGAGATCTCTTGAAGAGAAGAAAGCTTTGGACACATTAACATGTACCTAAAAGAGCCAGAGAAGCAGATACTCAAATTATAGCTTCCCTTAAATTTCTGCAAACATCTGCTATTCAAATTTTTCTCTGAGCCCTGAATTTATGACGGTAAGTATTAGTATTGATTATATAGCTATTGACAAATAACAAGGATGTACAGTCTCAAATCTGAAATATTCTTGGTTGGGACATGTAGAAACAGGAAAGAAAGCCCATTTAATGACATTTCTTTATTAACAAGTTTGTTTCAAATAATGCAATAAGCCCTTCGTTAAACAAAAGGAGATGTCATTCCCAAAAAAAAAGGAGACCAATCTTCTGTCTTTTTTAGGATTTGAATTGATGGGGAATCCATCGGGATATTTTTTAGATTTTGAAGATAAAGAACAAGTAATAAGATGGAGAAACTTAATTACGCTTCTGGCCAGAAGATACATAGGTAAGTTAAAAAAAAAAAATGGGAAGAAAAAAAAACAAAAAGACCTGTTGTTTATTCTGTTGTAATCCATTCTAACTAGCTCAAAAGGTTTGTATTGTGATCTGTGTATTGTGATTGATTTTAAGATCCTGGATTTCAGCACAGAACAGGAGACAATGGGATAAAAGCCCATTTTTTGGATGACCCATGACCAGCTGCCTAAATGAGTAGTATGTTCTGGGTAGCACATTGACCTGCCTCTGATGACTGACTTCTAACTTCATTATGTTGTGCTTGCAAACCACCAGCTTGTGCTAGGACATGGTAACCTGAATAATTCCTGCATGGCAGCTTCAACCTTCTATAATGAGTCAGAAGCCTCAATTTAAATTCAGGCTAGGTAAATGGCCTAACCAAAAGGCTATAGTTTGCATCATCTCCCTCTCACCTTTCATCTTTTTCAAATATTGCTGCATTTCATTGAAAATGAGAGGTCATTTTGAAACTACCAAAATCTCATTTCCCCCATTATTGAAAATAGGTAATTTTTATATCCTGTTGTTACTGTGGGTGCTGAACCTCACCTGCAACCCTAATCAATAAGATTGTCTGGATCAGTGACTAGTTAATAGGATTGTCTGAATGTTCAGCTCACTGATAAATGGGGTCTCTCCTACAGATAGGTATGGATTGGAGCATGTTGCTAAATGGAATTTTGAAACATGGAATGAACCAGACCATCGTGACTTTGACAATGTGTCTATGACAGTGAAAGGTAAGCATGTTTTTGAGCACTTAACTGGTGTAGTGAAGTGAGACAGGTTTGTGAGTTGGGTGGAAGGGTGACAGTGAGAAAGGGGAGATACTGGCAAACAAGTAAGGTAGGTGGGAGAGAGAAGGAATCTGAAAGTTAGTCTGTTTTGCTGACTATGCTTTTTTCCCGGCTTGTGCATCAGTATAAATACAGGGATAGCAGAACAGGGAAAGCAGAACAGGAATTACATGAAGACAGTTTGTTATTTGTATATAAGGTAAGGTTATTGGGGTAAGGAGGTAGAGTATGCATCTGTTCACGAATACAGCTGAGGTTTCAATATCTTTTCATGTTGTTAGTTCCTAGGAAAGAGTAGCCCTAGTTTATGAGGTCCTGCCAATAAACGCAATAGTAGTTATAACATTTGTTATTTTAGATCAAGAATTTAATTTGAGTTACCATCTCCGATATATGCATTTGCTTGGCCTTTAGGGTTCCTCAACTATTATGATGCTTGCTCAGAAGGATTAAGAGCAGCCAGTCCTCTACTAAAATTTGGAGGGCCTGGGGATTCTTTCCACCCCTTACCCAAGTCACCCATATGCTGGAGTCTTCTGTGGCATTGCTACAATGGAACTAACTTCTTCACAGGGGAGACTGGTGTAAGGCTGGACTACATCTCTCTCCATAAGAAGGTCAGTCCAAGATTTCAGTTTAAGGCTATTTTTTTTCATCAAGTCAATCCAAGTTACATTTTATTCTTATTTATGAAGTGGTTTTCTAGATGAGTGTGCAGCATAAAGCAGGAAGCATGGCTACATATTCTAATGAATCTCTGAAGATACTCAGCTGCAAATTTGCCATTGCTTAGTTCCCAGAGGGAAATAATCTTCTCGGCCTTTTTTCCATTCTATGTGGAAACAGCATATTCTGTAGTGGATTAGGTAAAAATGCTAACAGCTTCTCAGGGACTCTAGGAACATGTTTTCAGAATATGTTTATGTCTGCGTGTTCAGTCACTCTCACTAAGCAGCTATGAAATATTGTTGCAGGGAGGTGGGAGTTCTCTCTACATCTTGCAACAAGAAGTGGAAGCAGTTGAACAAATTCAGAAATTGTTTCCAAATTTTGCTTCTGTTGCCATATACAATGATGAAGCAGATCCAATGGTTGGATGGTCCATTCCGCAACTGTGGCGAGCTGATGTGACCTATGCAGCTATGGTTGTAAAGGTAACTCACTTCACTGACAGTCTTGTACGATCTCCTGATGCATTAATGCAGTTGCAAAAACAAACTTATAGTCAATTTTTAAGCAGCTCCTCAGAATAACAGATTCAGTAAAAAGAGAGCTCCATGTTGATACAGCTGCTATTTCTCTGAATAGTCTGGTTTCAGCGACTTTATTTAGCTGGTGTTATTTTTTTTCATCTTCCCTTTAAAAAACAAACAAGCAACCCCCCTGACAACTAAGAACTAGCCTTCTATGTGCTGGAGAATGTCTCAGATACTTTATGTCCTTTCCAGCCCTAACTATTCTATGATTCTATGTTGTCTCCCAGTCAGATCCACCTGATAAGACTATACCCACATATCCTTTCTCCATGTAATACTACTGATACCATCTCACTGCCACTAGCTGTCACTTATGTGAGACAGTATTTCCCAGCTCCTTCATAAGTTTATCTCATCAAGAGAGTTATAATTAAGAAGTCCCTTTAACTCTCAGTTTAAGCCCATTCTCTGTTTTTTTTACAATATCTATACACATGAATAATTATTAATTACTGCTAGTAAAGACTGCTGCTGATCAGAAAAGCAAAAGGAGAAAAGAATGCTCAGTACTCCTGCCCCTGCAGGCGTTGTAGCCTGGCCCCAGAGGAAGCACAGCTTTTGGTCCTCCATAGCAGCAGTTCCCACTGAAGGCCTGTTGCTCTGTGAGCCACTACCTTATACAGCATGTGGAGTCTAAGCGCTCCTGTGCAAAGTAGTAATTCCGAAATCTGAGAGCATGTATGTCACCCAGAAACAAGATAAATCTTACTAGCTGCTCTAATGGAGACAAAGGCTCCTAGCTCCTTTAGGCTTCATACAGAAGCAGTCTTCTCCAAAGCAACAATTCAATGACTGCATTGCAGAGAGTTTGAGAGCACAAATATCAGTGTTTATAATGACATGGTGATATGAAGAGAGAAAAAAAGAGACATATCCAACAGTAAATTAATACTTGGGTGGATGGGAGCTGGAGCCCTGTGTTCCTTCAGAAGCACAATTATGAGACTTTTTCAGCCTTCAGTTGTCAGCCTTCTGAAGTTCTGTTTGGTTCCAACAGGCACAATGTGGTAAACAAAGAACTTGGCAGGTCTGACATTTGCAGGAAGGCAGCACAACAACCAGTGAAATACTGGAAGAACTAATTCCATATTAGCACCAAGTGAGTAAAATGAGTCATTGAGGAACAGAATACGGGGCAGCTCCCAAACACTTGTGTAATGGGTACAAAATAATTCCAGAATTGGAAGACCACTTAGATTTAATTCAGATGGTAAATCCTAATTACTGATTTAATATTTAAGACAGAGAAGCATCATTTGTAGTGTAGTAGTCAAGAAAATATAATTTATGCAGAGTATTAGTAATAGTTACTTCACAGACTCTTTACCTGCAAAACTATGTGGATGCTTCAAATTTTCTAGTGATTAATCACCTAAAAAATAGTTTCTCCAAGAGCTGTGATGAACATTTTAGTTCTTCAGACTTTTCCAGCAGACTGACAGCTCTTTTCAATATGCTGTAAAGATTTAAAAAAAAAGAAAGAAAAAATACAGACATTGTGTGTTTGTTGGATTTTCTTCAGGATGAAGTTCCATCTTCTCTATGACTTTGCAGGTAATCATCCAGCATCAAAATCTGCTCTTTTCCAAAGCCAACAACACCATCAACTACACGCTGCTGAGTAATGATAATGCCTTCTTGAGCTACTACCCCCATTACTTCACACAGCGGACTCTGACAGCACGCTTTCAGATGAACAATACTGCACCACCTCATGTCCAGATGGTGCGGAAACCAGTGCTGACTGTCATGGGCTTGCTGGCACTGCTAGGTAAAGTAACCACTGATGAAAATGCATATCAATAACCACTTCTACCTAGAAGCTTCCTGCTTTAAGAGAGATTATTCCAGCCATCTCACCATTTGTAAAAGCAGGATTGCTCCTACTCCCTGTTTACCGGTTGTGTTATGAAAATGAAGCTTCATTTCCTCTTGAGAAGTTAATAGCGCAGCAGATTTGCCTGACAGTCTATTATCCATTTGGTTTAATTTACTGCTTTGTTTATACCCTCTGTATGCCAACCACTCCTTTTTTGTTGACTGGTACTTCCACCTTGTGCCATCACATCAGGCTGTAATGTCTTTAAGAATTTCTCACAGCAGGAAGACATAGGTAGCATACTAAACATAGATCCTAATTCACTGTTATATGCTTAGGTACTGCTAGCTGAACTGCTAAGTGTAAGAAATGCTGTAGTATGCGCATGATCTGCTGTTGTAAATAAGCCTGACTGAATGCTATATCCAGTAAAATAAGCTAGAATATAGCTCAACCTATAGATACCCATGTTTTGACCCTTCCTGTATCAGAAGCTATATATATATAGCTTCTATATATATATATATATATATCAGAAGCTGATACAGGACTGACTATCAGTGATGCTTAAGAGTTGTCACATTTTTTAAAGGAGAAAAACAGGTTCTTGCAGAAGTGAAGAACAGTGAAGGGGAAAGCACTGAAAACAGCACAATTGGCGTCCTGGCATCTGTGCACACCCCAAATGAGATGCAACCCTCGGACAGTTGGCAAGCTACTGTACTGATGTATTCAAGTGAGGATAACAGGACTTCATCCAACATCAGCACTGTCACAGTGAATGCCATCCACTTTCCCAAACTTAGAGGTAAATAAACATCATGTAGGCAACTCACATAATTGATCTTTAGGACAGAACATCAGCTGAAACACTTCTGTTGAGTGAAACTCTCTTTGCAAGAGTGAGTTTCATTTGCTAACTTTCTCTTTCACCATTTGGGCACTCCCAGGTTTTCTGAGATGTGATGGTGTTCTTCTAGGAAAGGTTATTTCCTAATGCCTGTGTTTTGCCCCTATCTTTAACGGGAGCTACAAATGCTACCTTTTTTTGAAAGCTATTAATATCAGTGTCCTGATGGACAGTTGGCTGGATATTGCTGGGCAGCAGTTCCCTTACTGAAGGTGACTCAAAGACAGCCAACATGACCACATGATTACACAGTTGATGCAGTTGTCCAACAAATATGTGCAGCAGATGTGTAAAAAATAAAAGGGTTTCAATTCTAGTTATGGAAGTAATAGCTTGAAATCTAAACTTAGCAAATTAATCAAAGAATTTTGCAGGAGCATGAGCCTGGTGACTTTCCAGTGGAAGTCAGGCTCTGAAGTTCTGAAATCACTTTTGAGAAGGTAGTCTTAAGCAACTTCTGCTAAATTTATTCTTGTTAATCCTTAAATCCAAGTAAAGAGTTTGTTCTTTTTATGTTCCTAAAGACCTGGTGTATGTGACGTATTACCTCGATAACAACCAAACCAATCCCTACCTGAAGTGGAAAAAGTTAGGAAGCCCTGACTTTCCTTTCCCAGAACAGTTCCAGGAAATAAGAGATGCTGAGGTATGACCATGTGTTTGCTTGAAGTGTTTTATGGGTAAAATACTCATGAATTGGCTAACTGCAGCTAAAGAGAACATGAAATCAGCTCAAGTAGTCGTAATTTTGTTAGCCCACAGTCACGTGTGTCTTATATACAATGAAAATTCACTTGCAATTACACAGAGAAACGTAGCTAGTACACATTTATTTTATGCAAGAGACTAAATGTAGATGGCCGGCTTCTTCTTTGCTATTTCCTCCGTTAACTAAGGGGGCAGAATTGCTCCAGATCGAGTTCTACCGTCTCTCTGGAACTTCAGTGAGCTCTGAGACTTTTTTGTTCAACATCCCCAAATAAGTCACATGACCCTCTGTATGTTACAGAATGGACAAGTTGCTGCATTAAAGAGTTGAAATGGACCCACCTCAATAACAGAAAACAAACAGCTCTTGGTGGAAATTACCCCGTGCAAGTTCAAAAGACACTTGGCATCTCTTGGGGACTGAAAGTGGGGCCTGCATTTTCCCCTCATCCTCTGGTTCTGAATGGACCCCAGAGGGTACTGAGGAGTAAGTCCTCTCTGAGGACTCCTTTTTACTGAGAAAAACCATGCCCACATTACTTACCATATGTGAGCAGCCTGTCACTTTAGCTCCTTCTCCCAAAGTTTCCTTATGCATTCAGACCCATGGGTAAAAATAAGGAAAGCCAACTTTATCTCCTGAAGGGCCCACAGCCAGTAATTGTGTCCTGGGTTTGGTGTCCAGTACTATGTCTTCTGTTCCCAGTCACAATAACCTACTATTGCTAGGGCCTGTGCAATACTATAGGAGCCATCAGCTCTTCCCTCCAAAAGGCAGCAGCAGGGTTTTAGGTACTCCTGTCATCTGGTGAAACCTCATTCTCAGAGACCAGCTTGGTGGCTGTTGTGGCTAGCAATAGCTTCCACTGCACACTGGGAATCCTTAGTTGAGAGACAGGGATGTGGTTTATAAAGATCACTAGCCTGAAATGTATCCATGGGAGGTTACTAAAAGTGACAGATCCTGCCTAAAGGGCATTTGCGATCAACTCAGTTTGTGAGGTGGACATAGCCTCCGTTTCCTGAAGAGCTGGAAAACAGGCAAGATAGAAAAGTCTCCCAGCCAGAGGAACTTTGATGGCTATACGTCGGTTATCAACACCAACTGTGTTGGAAATTTAGTCCCAAAGTAAACACAGTCATTTCACACTGATTTAACAGTTTGCCTTTAGGTGCTGTAATGAAAGATTACTCACAACACTGCTCTGGCTTCACAGGATCCCGTGGTAACAGGCCCATTCCCATTTCCTGAAGGTGGCATCCTGACACTGAAGCAAGACTTTCCCATTCCATCAGTCTTTGTTATCCATATTTGTGCAAGACCCAGATCTATTCCTGATCAGGTATGTGTTGTATTCTTCTGTCAGACTTACCAAATTAGAAAGTGCTTCCTGCTTTAACTCACTAAGCAGAGCCAGACAAGCACCTAAGCCTATTATTTCTTAAAAGTAGTAAACAATTCTCTCCAAGGCATGATTCAGGATAAAGCACTACACAGCGATAGGAGCCATCAGCAAGATAAATGCAAATTTATCCACAGTGGGAAAATCATAATGCACTACTGTAAAGTACAGTATCTTTTTTAAAATCACATCATGTTCTACCAAGCTTGACAGCAGCTCTCCAGTTAATAATCATAGAATCATAGAAAAGTTAGGGTTGGAAAGGACCTTAAGATCCTCTAGTTCCAACCCCCCTGCCATGGGCGGGACACCTCACACTAAACCATGTCACCCAAGGCTCTTTCCAATTGATAACTAAACTTAAAATGGAATCATGGCTTATTTGGATTAGACATCTGTATCTCCTTATTCAGTCACACTCACATTCATAGTTGTGCCCAGAACCTGCGAAGGTCTTCTGCAAGGTTGGCAGGATGGAGACATAGGCTACAAAGGCATAAAGCCAGAAATTTTGAATTTGTCTCCTGGTGTCAATTGAAAGAATCAAAGCAAATGGTTAGTAATGAAGGATAAATACAGAAATACGGCTTGGCTGACTGGTTTGTAAGTTTTCTTACATGGGCATGTGTCTTTGGACAGGTGACTGGTGTCCGTTTGATCCCTCTCACAAAGGGGCAGGTCATTGTGTTTTGGGATGATGGCTGTGTAAATTCAAAGTAAGTAGCTTTTAAAATACCATGGATATAACCAAGTTTCCAGCACACTTCTCCCTAATTTGCCACCAGTCCTGTCATCAAATTTGCAAATTGATTGTTACTTGCTCCCCAAGATGCTGCAGTGTATTTGCCTGACAAAGGGAACGGTAGGATCTACATGCAGTAACTATTGAGAGCAACCCTGACTGATCTGTGGTCTGGCCATGGGAATCTGCTTGTTGCTTACCAGCATCCAGTGGCATTTTTAGGGACTTGCCTTCAGCATAGCAGACAGGAAAATCCACAGTAAAAGTTATATTAGCAGCAGGTACCTAGGTGGGATTTTGACTCTCCCTGTAAGAAATTTTATCTGGAAGAGAAAACCTCCACTTCCTTACTCCAGCAAGTTGTACAAGACTGGAAACCCTTTGTAGGTGAACTGTCAGAGGCAATCCCGTGTACATCTAGACTCCCTCAAGAAGCAATGACTTAGCCCCTTTTCAAGGCAGTCTCCCTAGACTCTTCTGACTTGACAACCCTGGTTGGGGAGTAAAAGATGCTGCACGTACCCAGTATAGCAAGTCAGTCTGGGTGTTATTCTGTGGTGTGGTGGAGCATTGGTTCTTCCTAATACTATAAATTCATGCCACCCCATATTTGGTAGGAATGAGTCAACTGAATATTTCCTATTTTTGTCCTTGTTGTGAAGTAGGACTTAGATTAGGATTTGACTGCTCACTGCATTATCAGTTGTATTTACTGAGCTGTCTGGTTTTCTTTTCCAGATGTATAAAGACATTTGAAGTGGAGTTCTCACCAGATGGGAAAGCATACAAGCGGATTAATGCCAAAGACACAATTTTCACTCTCTGGGTCTACAGTCCAGGTAAGGCAAGAATACTGATGGTATCTAACCTGTCATGTTAACAGTGCCACCTATGAGTGCGTGAAACATCATCTAGTAACTACTAAATATATGCAGTTTGCTGGTTACATACACTCCCATAACAAATAAGAGCACAACCCTTCCTTTAGGGCCACATTCTCAGTGAAAGCCTTATTCTCAAGGTCAGGCAATGATTGACAAGTAGTCATGAGGACATTATTAGTTTGCCATGAGTACTCATTGCTCATTGCCGTGAGCAAATTCCTTGCCACAGAAACCAGTTGCCCAGGTGCAGGCCTGGCAAGCTCTCTGAGAGGCAAAGCAGCACTTTTGTCTCTATTTGTAGCTGGTGATTGCTCCACATGACCAGAGCTTGGTGTTGTGCTCTTACTAGTAGACTTACCACAGTGCATGTCTCCAGTCTGGGTTCAGTCCTATAGGTATGGGCCTGAATTTGTACAATGCTTTTGCAGTAGGACAACAGGGGCAAGTTGCCTTGTTAACATTTGGTTTGTAATACTGCATCTTGAGGTGTTAGACTGCCTAAGGATGCGGCACCAACACACAAATAAGTGGGAGGTCACATCCATCTTTTATGAAGGGGTTGGTTGTCTTGCATTTATAGTGTTCTGAGCTGTTCTAGGGGAAGGTCGCAATTCTACTCTTGTTGTGAGCGTCTGTCCCTGTGACCAACCCTGTTATAGCTTGGCAATCTTAAGCTGTTGAGTTCTCCCTTGTCAGAACAGAAGAGTCCTCCTGCAGAATGGTTCCTCCTGACTATCTGAACACTTAACAAAGGAAAGGCTTTTGTCTCCTCTCATTTCCTAGAGCTTTCTTTTTAGCCTAACTACCTGCCTGTGTTTTAGAAAGGGCATTGAGTTTCATCTTTGTCAACAGGCAAAGCTTCTTTCAGAGCCTATGGTCATTTCTCCTCAAGTACAGCCTAGATGCAATAGGAATGTACTCAGATGAAAAACGCTGAAAAAAGTAGCAATGTTTTCTTTGGGTATTTTTTTTTTGTTGTTCTTCGGGTTTTTTTTAGCCAAATGTGGTCTAATCTGCAATGTCACTCTTCCAACGAGTATTACTAGTAAGCACTGAGCAGAGCTGTGTAAAACACAGACAGACCTTGCCTCAGAGTAATGCTAATAAAGAACAGTTCAGAGAGGTTTTTGCCAGAAGCATAAGCTCATCTTAGCTTGGAAAAGCTTAGCATCAGCAGTGGATGCATAGTAAGGTTCAGAGCTATTATCGTAATGTAAAGGCTACACAGTTAAGCAAAGATCATAGATCATGGCTAAGGCAAATCTCTGAAATTAGGATTTGTTACCATCTAGTGCTGCACATGTGGGGAACCTGCCGGATTTAACTGTTTATTTCAACAAACAACAACAAAAAGAAGACTGCTTGAAAAAGTCTCAGGAATCTCATCTCAGCAGCATTTATTGCTGTATACTTTATTCTCACTTATTATTTCCGGCATTTGTTTAAAAAAAAACCCAACAAAACCACACATAAAATTCAAGTGGATAGTTGAGAAAAAACATTTATATTACTTGTGAGGGTAAGGACTCTGCTAGCAAAGGCTGTGTTGTTCAAACTATATCAAGGATGAACACCAGGAGAGACACAGAACATCAACTAACGCACCTTTGGAGCAAGTGGTGCTGCTTCCTGAGTTGAGCGGAGCTGCTTCAGTCAGCCTGCATGCTTCTTGTGCTGCTGTTTGTTGATCCTCTCCCCACATAACCTGTTCCAAAGACACAATTCAGGCAGAAAAGTCAGAAAAAAGGAAGTTAGTAATTGTGGATTCAGAAGATGTCATAGCCTTCTTCCAAAACAACTGTTAGGACAGAAGCGTACTTGCAAATACTTACGAGGAAAGATGAGGTCCTTGGCGCAACAGAGAAAAAGAGACAGTACTTGGCCATAAAGAATTTGTAATAGTTTTTAGTTAGACAAGCATAGACACATTCACATAGGATGCAAAACTTATTTCATCGTTTCCCCAACCCGTTCCACAAACCTACATTGTATGGGAGTAGTGCCTGCTCCACATGCTGCAAGCACCACAGGTGTCAGCCTTTCACAGTGAACATTTCTAACCTTTCCATTTGCAGGAAGCTCAGTCTCCGGCTTTTACAGAGTACGTGCCATTGACTACTGGGGGAAGGGTGGCCTGTCTTCTCTTCCTGTGGAGTACATCGAAGCTTTCAAGTGACTCCAAAGAGGAGTGCCTGGCTTGGTGTCTAGGTGGTATATGCTCCCTGCAAACACCCACTGCCCAGAAAGATAAACTCCTCCCAGGCTGAGGAGGGAGTACCAAGAACCAGATGAAGCAAGTTAGGAATGCAAATTAGAAGCAACTACCACTATTAACTCTTCAGTGCTCAAAAGACAGTGTTATCAAGCAACCGCAACTGACAATCCAGCTGGTACAACTGTATGAGGCTGCTATATGGCTGGGATTCAGCTTGATAACTATGAATTATGGGAATAAATACTTATTATTCCCTATTTCACACTAGTAGCCACTCACTCCAGCAGGAGCAGGACCATCACTTTGCTGTGTGAGTGAGAATGGCAGCAAAAGCACAAGAAGGATCTGTCTGAGAGTGAAATGCCTGCCTCAGCTGGCAGGTTGTCTTGATGTAGCAGTTTGATGGAGAAGTGCACAGCAGCCAGGCACGTCCAGAACATGGAGTGAAGCGTCCCTGTGTCCCTGCCTGTTAGTCATACCTGCTCCAGTGGTTTATTTCAGAGTATTTGCCATGTCTTCAGATGTATGAGACTCTTCATCCTCCCACAGAGGGCTTTCCACTGAACTCTCTCTGCATTTGCAGCTGTTATTTGGATGCCAGGGCTGTTCCCTCACACCGGCAGAGGAAGGAGCAGCAGCTCATCCTCAAAGGGGAAAAAGGCACAGAAAACTCTAGCCTCCAGATTTGCCTGTCTTTTCTGCTTTCTCCTTTTGCTCAATCTGCCTGTTTGCTCTGTGGCTGCCAGCTGCTACCTCTTTGTGGTGGAGGCTTTAACCCTGAAAGCCTCTCTTTCTCTCTATTGCTGTCACCTAACATGGCCTTCTGCAGTCTTTACAGCTAATGTCTCTCCTGAGCATGCATCTCCTCTCAAACTGAGTGACCTGAGGCTTAACTTTGGGTGGTCAGGAGAAAGCTGAAATGCTAGTCAGAGCTTTTGTGTTTCCATATTACAGGAGAGCACACTCTTGAATGGAGCAGGGCTGCTACTGACAGCCTGTACGAAATGAAACAAGAAAATTGGAGCATGTGTGCTTTGCAAAGCATGTGCGCAAGCATGTGATAGCCCCACATCATGAGCTACAGAACACCTCTGGCTGTCCTTGCAGCTGCCAAACACTTTATGTAACAGCAAAGTTCCCTGAAGTCGCAAGGGTGTTTTTTTACTCTCTCCTTTCCACAACTGGCACAGTTTGAGCTGTACCTTTAAAATGCTTGTAGAGGGAAGGATGATGCCAGTGAAAACAGCCCCAGTGTTTTCCATAAGAGGAGCAACTTTGTTGCACAAACAAATCCCCTGCTGCTCTCTTTGCTGACATCAGCCACCTCACCAACATAACAAGGACTGTATATTTGGTGAAACATTCAGGTCTCACACAAAAAAAATAGCTTTGCGCAGTAGGAGACAGCAGAACTAGCTCAAATGGCCTCACACACACAGTGCAGAAAAGAAACATATACAAAAAGTCAGTATATATGAGATAAGGCTTTATATCCCCTTATTTCTGGTTACTTGTTCGTGTGCTTACCCTGAAAGTTAGCCTGGAATGATTCATTTTGTCACAGAATTCAGATGAAATATTTCCTGCCTCACTGAAGTTTGAATAAGGAGCACTTGTAACATCCTAATCTGCCAATTCATTGCCCGTAAAGGCTTGTGCACAACAGAAAAGGGCCATTGGAACCTGCTTAATGGACAACTTTCTTAACTCTGAAAAAGTTAGTGACAAGTTCTATTTGGACAGAGATTGTAAAAATTTATTTCAAAGTTGTAATAACTGCCCCTAAGTGAAGAATCAGAATATGCAGTTAAATAAAATCCAGCAGTCAAGACATGCTTGTTTTGTCAGTATGAAGTGAAACCACAAAATAAAAAATACTTTTAGAAATACTTAAGTATAGATCCTTGAGAGATTTTAGTCCATCTGAAGGAGGGGAAGATACATCTTGAGAGGACAATTTACCTTGTTAGGATGTCCTGTTTGAGTAGCCTTCTGCTTTAAAATTTTCCCACACTGACAATCAGAATACAGCAGTCTTTATCAAATCAATGGCTATGCACTGGTAACAGGCGTTTGAAATGAAAAGAAAAAAGCGTAACTGTTATGAAGGGTGTTGATTTTGCTGTGCAGGGATATAGTGGAAAATGTATAGGTGTGTAAATCACAAAAAATAGATCACTGCCCTGCTTATTTAGAAGACAAACTTAAATTATACCTCTCTGAGGTGAGGTTTGTAGTGGCATATATGACACAAATGATGCAAATCTGATAAGTCCTGGTGGAATATTTGGCTTTTGCAAAGGTGCAGAACAGACAGTGGTGATTGACTTCTCTTTCACTGTGTTGAATGAAGTCTATCCCTATGGTAAGTAATTTCCTTTGGGGCAAGTTATCATCTCTTAGAAGATTTTTACTGCGGGGAGTTCTGTTGACCCATGATTTGTGCTTCTTAGCAGAGACAACCATGAGGCTTGCGGCTGCCTTTTTAAAGTGGTTTGTAATTTTTTTGGTTTGTCAAAAAGCAGTGTAAGAGTTCTGGTTTCCCTAAAGTTTCAAGGTGAAATTTCCTACAATATTGTATTGGCTGTTCAAGCCACAAAAAGTCAGAATTTGTATTTGCATGAGCAGAACTTAGCATGTTGTAGGTGCAAATAAAAGCCAGTTTCTTAAGGTCAAGTCCAACCACTTTGAAAATGTGTCACTAGGTCCCTCATTTAGGGCTTTTGCATTAAACATCCTCCAGAGTGTGGAAGGCACTCTGTTTTTTCAGGTGGCAGTGGTAAATACACCTGGAAAGCGCAACTGACCAGAAGTGGTGCCCTGCCTGTTCAGAAACCAGTTTTGGATATTCAGCAAGAATTTTTTTCTTTGCTGCTTTGATATAAGTTCATTTCTTTCATCAGTGAGCAAGTCCGAACAATTGCAGCAGAGAATTTGGTATTTCCAGGCTTGAATTTATTTCCGACAAAGTATAGAAGTTTTAGGCTGCCCTTGTCTGTTTTATAATTTTATGTCACAGATAACTGGTATTTTATATTTGAAATGTGAGTTTTCTGTAACCATCTGTTGCTGATTCTGTCCGATGGGGCTTCCAGAACTGTGTGTTTAACTCTACCGTCTGCATTACTGGGCAGGGATCAGCCCTTCCTCACAGTTTTAGTTTTCCGAAGTGCTAGCAGGTGCTTAGTAGTTCTGTAGCATCAAAATCCAAGCAAGACTGCAGAACGCTCAGTAATATCTCTTCCTGGCCATAAATCCAAGTAGGAAAGTGTAACTGCAACTCCAAGGTGAGATTATTTGCCAGCTCTTCAAGCAAAAGCTTCCAGGTCTAAGTAACAGTTTCTCAAGTATTTGTTAAAATGAATGCTAGAGAAAAAACTTTCAAAAAGAGTGTTTTATAATGGTGTATATACTGCATTTGTTGCCATCTTTTGTGCTACTCAATAAAACCAGGTTTTAATCTTTCACATGAAGCCTGTAAAAACAGGATCTGATCAATGTGTTCTGGAAACTGCTCAAAAATCTAGTGTCAACAACTTAATCTTGGGAAGTAAACCCTGTTCTAAAGGTATAAAAACTTGACTGGTGCAAGTTTCAACATTACATAAAAGTAAAGCATGAAGGGGAGTATGACTGTAAGAAATTTCAAGGCTGAAGTAGGAACTTAAGTGCATACATAGATTGCCTCAGTTACCACAGCCCAGGGAAAACTAGTCTAACTCAACATGATATCGTAGGGTCAGATCTCAGGCCTTGCAGTGTCCTTGCCTGGAGAAGGTTCACTTGTGTGTGAAGGACAATATCCTTGCAGGGTTCCTCCTGCTGTTGCACAGTCGTAGCCGTTCTGCCAGCACTAAAGGACCTTCTGAGGACAAAACAACAGTCCTTTTCATTCGTAAAGAGCTTTTTCTTTTCTCTTCTTAGTGGAAAGTTTGTGCTTGACAGAGATAATGACTTGGGACTTATACACATGCATCAAACCAGGAATAATAGACTGGTTCTCATTAGCCAGCTCAAACAGCAGACAGAAGTGTGTCTGCTTCTAGACATACCCTAGGTGTTTTATGTTGCGCTCAATGGAATAATAAGAGATGTGTAAATAGTATCAGAATACACTTGCAACTGCCCACCCTACTCTATCTTTCACATTTCATGCAGTCAGTGGAGAGAAATGGGTATGAGCTAACTCCCATCTGTTTACTAGCTCACTAGATCATATGGTGAGGGCCTACATGTGGTCCTGATGGGGTAGTGTTCCTCCAAGAACAAGGCAGATTCCCGGGGCATGTATAACTCCATGGTGTATTCACCCAGAATCTCCACTATCCTCCTACAAACCTGGAGGCACAGGCTTGTGTGGCTGAGGGGTTTCACTGCCTAACTCATCTTGACAGACTGTAACAACCACACTAAGGGTGCACTTGGTCCTGCATATTGCTAGAACTCCCATCATACAGTTGCTATAACCATAGATGTTAAAAATTCCACTTCTGTAGGACCAGTAGAATTGGTCTGAATGTCCTGGACAGAGGCCAAGCTCCTCCAGCAAAGTGTTAATGTTGTCTAATCACTTGTGATACAAGTCCTAAGTTCACAGATCTCCACTCAGTACTTCCTCATGGGAGAGGGGGGCAAGTCATGAGCATTCAATCAATGCACTGACCTTGCACTTAGTTCAGCACAAGAGGCTGATATTTTTTCGACACTCCGTGGTCTCTGTCTATGTAATTTTTGTTTACATTGCTTCCTGCTGGTCTTCTGTTTCTGTCCTTAGGTTTGGATGGTAGCTCACTATCTTATTCCCCACCAGGGTAGCTTTCCCTAGACCAGAAGATCAAGGTACACCTTTATTTGGTGCTGGCTGAGAGACTTCCCTGCATCCCTGGGACAATGTCTCTGTCATCATAACAGAGTCTTTAGTCTTTCAATGGCTTTTTATGCTCATTCCAACAGATGCAGTTGGCAGTCATTGCATACTGTAGACAAAATTGTGCAATCATCTTGCAGAAGCTGTTTTACAGCATAGTGCTCTGAAGATGTTCCCTCAGTATCAACGTTGTGACACATACCTTTTGAACGTCTCAGGAGCAGGGGCAGTTGGCTTCCATGATTAGCTGGTAATCATGGCTTCTAAAAATTTGTATTGCTGACAAACTTCAGGGTTCAACAGTTTTATTTATAAGAAACATGCAAAGTGAATGTGATTTTACTAATCGCAGTGGGACACATGCCAAAAATGCTGACTTGGGTTACCTTTTTTTCTACATGGAGTTGTTTAGATACTATTATTTTGATTCCCTCCGTGAAATTCATGGCCACAAGACCTGTTGGTTCTGTATCTTTCCAGTTCTATACCTCTCAGTCAACTGGAGGCTGAATTATGCAGGCAGTGGGGAGTAAATCACTGCTTGAACCAGTAACTGCTCATTTAAAGCAATATCCCAGTGTCACTGAAAGGAAAATATGCTTTACTGCATTTGCGATTCAGGGGCTAGTTAGAAATTCTCTACACAGACGTTTGCGTCTTCAGAAATAACCATAAGATATTACCAGGCAGCAGGGGTCACTATCAACCTCACCTGGGTTTTTGTTCGAGAGGATTCCTTAGCTTCACTATTTAAATGGAATAGGTGCGAGAGGTATGTCACACATGCCAGGGCACCGCAGGCACCTATGAGCCTGCCTTTGTTGCTTTATGCACCTGCATACCCCTTGCCCATGGTCCACAAGCCCTCTTCAGCTCAGCCCATACCCCTGCACACCTGGGAGCCTTTCGCTGCAGGTAGCTCTGCTTCTGAGCCCCTCTGCAGGGCTGCTTCTGCCCAGAGCCACCTTGCAAGCAGGGCTGTGCTTTGCTGCGCTCACTGCCTGATGGACTCCCCCAGTGAACCGCAGACCTGCCCCATCTGTCTTGACAATCAGCACTGTCAAGAGACCTGTCCCTGTGACCTCCCCTGCACTGCTCCCCCTGCTTGGTGCTGGAGAAGGACACTGCCCCCACTGTGCTGGAGTCACCTTGGCCACCATCTGACCTCCCCTCCGTGAGTGTCCCCACTCCTCCTGCTCCCCGACAGGACAGCAGGTAACAAAAAGCAATTCCACAAGTGAGGTTTTTTTAAAAACATTTATTGAGAAATGCCACGGTATTCCCTCGAAAATTCAGCTATTGGTGTACTGCACTGCACACAGTTTACAGAATCCCCAAGATTTTCATGTGTTTTTCAGGACAAACACACTACTCAATACTATGATTTTCTTTTCTTATTAGCCGAGTGGCAACTTCAAGACCAAGAGGTCTGGTTCCTGTACTTAAGGGTACTTTAGCAGGCCCCTGTAAAGAAAGAAAGAAAAGTAAACTTTAGTCCTTGCAAGTAAATTTGCAAAGTGCTTTAACAGCTTTTGCGTCTTCAGTGGAGCTGTAGCCGCATCCTCCCTAGGGTACTTCTGAATGAAGATTAGGATGGGGTGCAAAAGATGCTGTCTACATTGCTCTGTGTGTGTTGGTGAAGCACTTCAGCAACCTTTGCTAGTCCCAGCCACCCATGAGTTTTCAGGCACTTCAGCTTGAGCCCACAAGCCAGCTACCCTTCCTCTGCTACAGTGAGCAATACAGAGGGGCATGGGGCAGGGATGCCCATGCCAGTCTCATAACCTCAGGTGATGACAGGACCTGCTCTGAGGTGGAGGGCTGGCTCACACAATGGTGTGAAGTTCAGAATGTTTTAGCTGATATTTCTTTTTTTAAGTCCAGCAGTGCAGGACATGTGTTACTGCAGCAACCCCCCAGACCAACCCCCAGGTTGTCAGGCCTGTCTTAGTAAAGGGCCAATCTCCAGGCAAAGCTGTGGGCATGTGCAAGGTATGAGCAATTAGCTACCAACGAAGAGGAATTTATACTTCCAGCATAGCCTTAAAGCATTATCTGCCTGTCTCATGGGCAGCAAATGAGCTAGAAGATCAGCTCCCATGCCTCCAGAAAAAAGTTCTTTCAAAATGGGCTTTAGACATACTCTGTTTGCATGTGTGTGGCACAACTGCTGACTGCCACTGCCATCAGACACAGAATGGCTGCTCAGAGCCCCTCATCTCTGCTGCTCAGATCAGCCAGGACACAAATCATGCTGGAGCTAAGCAGAGGGAGGGTGCTCATTCCTGAAGGCAGCTTCTCCTCCTTTCCTAGAGGACAGTGCACAGACCTAAGGTAAGATGCTGTTAACCAGGTGGCCAAGACAAAGATCTCCAAGTGCAGAAACACCAGGTTGTTCCACCCATCCCTATTCTATCAGAGTAACAAAGATGGTCTTTCTCTGGTAATGTGTGTTTCAGCACACAGGATTCCTATGAGGGTAAATCTAAGGGTGCAGTACTGCCCTGTAACACACTTTCTCCATTGCATGAACTTCCCTTTGCATCCATTTTCTTCTTGGATATAACATGAAAAAAGCTTGCTGAAAGACGATAATGTAGTTTGCTACAGTTCTGTTGTGTTTGCTTGTGAGCTCAGAGTACCTGACTGAAGTACGGGCTGGAACTGGCCAGACATGCAGATTTCTTCCTGCTTCTGGCGCACGATGCGCTGGATGGCTGGGGGCAGGCCACGGGGGTTGCGTGAGAAGATCAGGGAGTAACCATCATCGCAGGAGCCATCCTCCTTCAGACTGCGGCAGGCATAGGTAATGGCATAGTTGTCATAGTCGGTGTCAATCACCCAGTAGTTGTCCCCTGAAACATCAGAACACACGTGTTGGTCACAGTGGCTAAAACAGAGCAGAGGTGGATGTAGTCATCCTGCAGAGAGACTCCTCACTTCAGCACATGGCAGGGATAGCTTCTGAAAGTATCTAAAGTCACTTCCCGCATCCAGCTTATCTCCACACCATGAAGTGAAGAACTGGACAAACACAGGGCATCTTTGTTCCCTATGAAACTCAGTGCATTTTTGCCTTTGGTTTCTTAGGCTGAAAGGACCTTAGAAGGACTAGGACTTTCCAGGATTTCAGTAACAAGAAATTGCTTTATGTTGCTTGCTCAAGCCTGGGGAGGCAGGGCGTACACATTAAATTTTCACCATACAGATTGCATTTCCTACACAAGCAGCCTCAGCAAAACCTGCCTCCTGTTTTGCAGCCTTGCTCACCCAAGTGCAGTTTGGTGTGGCTTGTCTGCCAACACTAGGTGAATATTCTTCTTTCTTATGCACTAGCATGCCGAATCCTGCCCAACCTCCACAGCTGGAGTCCCACAGCTATGGAGACTTAGGCACAAAGTATGAGGTATGCAGAGTACATAACTGAGGTTCAGCAGTTTCTGCAAGGAGGACTTCATTTCACAGCTCCATTTTGTTCATTCCAGCTGTGTCTCCCTGAGAACTGAACCTTGCTGCTGGAGTACAGATGTGGGTCCATATGTTGCCTCCATTAGCAGAGGAGTATAAGGATGACTGCCCCACAGCATCTCAGCGCTGTGA